ACCACTGATCCACTGTACCACTGATCCACTGATCCACTGTACCACTGATCCACTGATCCACTGTACCACTGATCCACTGATCCACTGTACCACTGACCCACTGACCCACTGATCCACTGTACCACAAAACAAAGTTCTTCTTCTGTCTCTGTGGAGGAAAAATTCCTTGGTTCCAACCGAAGTCTGCTCAGACTCTGGTCCAGATTACAGCCATTCCCTAATCCATGGTAATCTGTCAGCAGCTGGCCCATTCCAGCTGAACTCCTCCATCACTTTCACCAAATCGTCCTCTGCTTTCAGCCTTTCAGCTCAGTGTTCCTGAAGTTAGCACACCCTCCATCTCTGAGAGGAATGGTACCATCTGGTTCTGATCAGGAAATGACCCATTTGTGGTTTTTCTTCCCTGAAACAGCTCCTCCTCTTCATCGTCTCGTTCTTCAGCTGCACACAGAGCAGAGTTAGAGGTCTGATCCAAACAGTGAGTCAGACAGAACTAATGTTCATGCTTCTGACTCGCGACTGTTACAAAACAGCTACACACAAGCAGGACATTCCTGAAGAAATGTTCCAACTCAAACTTACTTCTCTAAAGTCCAACAGAAATCTGGGACTTTCTCTGGACACATCTGACAGTCTGGTTGTGACAGAAACAATTTTAATTTGAAAGTCCTGGTTCAAATCTCTTCCTGTTTCCTGTCGAGCCTCTGACTGAATCCAGGTTCTGTCTGATGGTCCTACAGGGTTTAGCTAAAGGCCTTCACTTCCTGTTTGGATGAGAAACTCAGAGCTCAGATACAGTGAAAGTCAAAGAGAGTTTGGGTGTTGGAAACCAACAGTCCTAGACCAGAGATCCTCTGAGTGAAGAAGATTGGACCTGTTTGGATGGARAAACTGGAGGAAGGGTTTGTAAAAATGTTGTACAACAGGTAAAAAGTTACACCTCATCAGACACTAATTGAAACACTCTAAAGTCAAACCCTGCTTGTGAACCTATCATTGTGTGAAGTGTTAAAGTTCTGTAAACAGCAGGGCGGTCATGTAAAGTTTAGCTTTCTGTGACCCATTCAAAGCTTTAATAGAAGGTTCTGACATGAAGTTAGAGCTATAGATCCAAACAAGACTTGTGCCAACAGTCAGAACTCACAGCTCCTGATGTTTTGATTTATTTTGGTGTAGGTAAGGCTTGGTCAGGTGGTTGATGTTTTTATTGGTTGATTGATTGGTTGATTTAGGCAATAGGTTGGTTAGATGGTCTATGTTTTTATTGGATGGTTGACTGGTTGGTGTAGGTAATGGGTTGGTCAGATGGTTGATATTTGTTTTGGTTAGTTGGTTKGTTGATGGCAGGTTATTTAGTTGGTTGGTTAATAAGTTGGTTACCTAATGTAGGAGGAGTGTTTGTATAAAACTGATTTTGTCTCATTGGTGTTCAGTGTTTTAAAGAAGAGTGTGTAAAAGGTTAAACCAACTGCCGCTGCTCCAAGTTTTTGGATGAAAGAGGAGCAGCAGAGTCAGGTATTGATCAGGCAGCGGGAGAATAAAGAGGGCAGGAGATCAATAGCTGCACATTATGATTTATTACTGCTGCTGTAGTGTGTCACACACACTCAGAAGGTGTGTGTACGTATGTCCTCAGGGTGTGTTTTCTGTTTCCTGTCATCATTCTGCCAACACACACTGTGAGCAGGAATGTGACGGAATGATGCTGTGGAAGCATGTGTGTATGTGTGTGTGTGTGTGTGTGTGTGTGTGTGTGTGTGTGTGTGT